GGGCAGTAGACACGGCAAGGACACTGCAGTTCCAGAGGTCGCGTTAAAGAACGTTTCGACAATAAAATTTATAAACACGATTAAACACTGCAGCGGGAATTATTAGTATTCGACCTTGACCATTGTCACGGTCAAGGTCAGTTCATATTAATGGATAATGGTTTTTGTATTAAATTATTACCCCACTGCCATAGAATGATGTTTTCTAAATGACTACCTAAGGAACGAGATTCTTTCTCGTTTGGTGATTATTTTGGTGGTTATTTTGATTTCAATTCTGAACTGGCCCTCTAGACATGTAGCTAATGAACCCATCGATGGAATTGCCATTGTTACCGAATCCATGAGTTGGAACGAGATAGGAACCTCTAATGTCTCATGGGCTCGCTTGCGATAACGATTCTGTCGATAGTTTCGTTTGCCACTTGTCTAGAGGGCGTGATTTGCAATCAATGGAGTTTACTTCTATGACGGTCCTATATTAAAAGAGGGGGAGGGGAGGATTGTTAGTAATGCGGACTATCAATCCCATTGCTAATAATATACCTTATCAGGTTGACCTTCAAGTGGTCTCCCTGGAAACCATCGTGTTGAGTTCCAGATGTATTTATGACGATGCGCTAACAGACCTGCCCTTTCATTCTCACCTATCTTTCGTCACTTGTACCTCACCAGCGTATATCGTTAGCGCAGGCGGAGTTACCATTCCCTTATAATCCATTAAAGGCTTAAAGAAGGTCCTATATTAAGTTAGCTAGGTTTAAAGCCATCATTTTTAATTGCGGAACAAAATTTTGCAAAAAAAAAAATTCAAAGTATAATCAATTTTCGATACCGCTATCTAAATTTAAATATATTCAATCTAATGTATCTATTAATTTAACTAAAGATATCGTTCATTCATGTGTTTTATTACAAGAAACTGCCAAAAACCCTATCCTTACATACATTTCTTACATCCACATTTATAATTCATCTCATTTATACGTGCTGGTTACTGAAACTCGACTCCACATCACATCACATCCTTAGGAATGGCAACGCATAAAATGTATCACGGGCGACATAGTTATTTACATCTATAGGCGACAATTACTACTTTCAATCATGTGGGCCGTCAGCATGTTTGCCATTCTAGGTTGCATAAATAAAACATCACATTAACATGGTCTATCTAATAGATTTATAAGATTCTTTAGCTATATGTCATTTTTATTACAAACTAGTCGTTACCAGCGGTGTTCCAGTAGTTCTCGTATATCATTCTCATTGGAACTCTTCATGAATCCGATTTTATATTGTATTATATATACTTAAATGATAATTACGTATCTAGTACCTTCAAAAAATTTCAGCCAATTCAACTGATCGGTTATTTTATAACATTTTATATGTGATTCTTTAGATTGATATAACGTTTTTATTCATGAACCGATTGAAATAAAACAAACACTAAATATTAAATGCAACAAACCGCAACGCACTAGTGAAAATCGCGTTCAAATCGGTTAAGCCGTTTCTGAGATTAGCGTGCACAAACGTACAAACAAACAGACAAAAATTCTAAAAATCATTGTTTTGGTTTCTATTGCGTTCATAATGCCCTCCTTTAAAAGTTTTTGTTATATATCTTCCATATACAGACAGCGACCAGTTACAATTTTATGATGTTGATTAAAGTGCCGTCCAAAGAATTTTTAATATTAATGATAAGTAGATATCAGTCGGACATTCTGAACAAGCTAATGGTTGTAGGCAAGATAGAGGGGAAAAGACCACGCGGACGATCACCTAGTCGATGGTCGGACCAAGTAAAGGCCGTTATGGGACTGTCAATTGCAGCTGCCCTGCGAAAGGCTGGAGACCGTGCGAAATAGAGTAACATCATAAGAGAGGCAAAAGACACCTTTCAAGGACACGATTTTTAGTAATAAAGTGAACGAAGAGAGAAAGATATGAAATTGTACAAATGACGTATCGCCACTGATTGCTGTAATATGAATGAGTTCTATAGTCATTAGTGGAAGGTCTCTCACGAATTAATTACTGAAATTTCTAATATTAGATCGAGTAATTATGTATAAATGTCACCAGGTACGGGTGATTAGAAAGAGTTAAGGTCTCCTATACGTTGACGACTAGATTGAACTTGGGTCTCGTATAGTTATAAAGACACATTTTAATTAAACTAGTCGCCCAATCCGGGGGCTTTACATGGGAACCCAAATTTTTTACTTTTTATACAATTTTTTCTTTCATACAAAGCTTGTTCTGACAATTATAAATACAACAAAAATTAATTGATCAAATAGGTGCAGCTGTTCTGAACTTATCCGCTTTCATACATTCGGCGAATTTATTGGGTACAGAAGAATAACACCTGAGTCCTCAGGAATGGCAACGCATGGGGGGTATCATGGGCGAAACAGTATACTCCGTTATGTCCATGGTACTGCTCATGTCTATAGGCGACGGTTATCACTTTCCATCAGGTGGGCCGTCAGCTTGTTTGCCATTCTAAGTTGTATAAAAAAATTATGGTCGTGTAGTCCCGGCGTAGAATAGGTCACCTTTTCCTTTCCTATGGATATCGTAATAGTCGACTGAGGGCGAGGGATGGGCAGCAGCGTCTTTCTTAAAAGCTAAAGCTATTTGTAAAGCTTAACTGCAGTTGCCAATTCGCCTGCCAATCGCGGCAGCTACTGGCAAAATCTCCCAGGGGGCGGGGGGGGGGGGGGGGACATGACTTATGTTCAGCAGTGGACAGTTAAAGACCGATAACATGATATCGATATTAAATTCAAGAGTAGGGTCGCTGATCAGTTTACTAATGTTTGGCTTATTGTGACTAGCTTGTAATAGTCTGTGACAAGTCTGAAGTAAGTGGATGCCCTAATATGGTTGGAAACTTTAATTAGTATTTTAGGGGTTTCACTGTAAGTGACTTTTGTATTATTCACGCACGCCATTCAAACTTTAAATGTCGGGAGCAGCCGAGGCGAAATCTTTCGAGATTTAATATTTTTCTGCTTGTAAAGCTTACGTATAGGTCTATAAATGCTGTAGTTTGAAATCAGCACGTCTTTTTCAACTGTCTTCAAAAAGGAGAAGTTTCTTAATTGGGTTTACTTTTTTTTGTGTTTGTTACCTCATAAACTGATTCTTTGAAAATTTATTTTTATTCTTATTTGAAAGCATATATTTTTACGTTGGTCTCGTAGATTTGTTTGAAATATGTTTAATAGTTAAGATTTAAAATTAAAATAACTAATTTTGTCACGATTGATGTCGGTGTGAAACAAAATCTTAATATATTAATTATTTTTTTTAAATATAATTTTTGTATTGGTTATTATTTTTATTATACCATCAAAAGGAAAAGGTCGTGACTATATTTTTATGGGTCATATTTGTAATCCATAGACTTAGAATGTCCTTCAACATGTACCTCTATCTTTGAACTGAATACAAAGGAACGAAGGGTCAACCCCAAAGGTAGCGCGAAATCTGGGTCAAATGCATTAGGTCAGGTCACAGTGTGACGTTCTTTCCCATTTGGCTGGTACCCCACGCGCCGTATGACGCATTAGAGGATTTTGTAATGCTAATAAAAAATATTACAGCTTGTTTCATTTATTGGAAGGATTATCTACTTCCTACGAGTATACACAAATATATGTAAGGACAAAAACATTCGTGTTCGTTTTATACAAGATCGTAAATTTTTTTTTAAATATTGCCAGTAATGTTGATAAATGACAAATAAAAACATATACTCCTAATTGACGCGTGCTAATAATAGAAAAAAGGTTTTTGGTATACTTGTGTGTTTTATTGATTTCTATAGTAAAAATAAATAAAAAAAAAATACTAAAAATTATGTTATGTTTGTTAACTATAATTCAAATTAGCTCTTACCTATAAATTATTTAAATTTGGATATTAAATGTATCACCATTCTATAAAAGTGTAAGAAACAGATATAGCAATCAGGGGAGTTTTCATGATTTTTTTATACAATTTAGAATGACAAACAAGCTGGCGGCCTACCTGATGGAAAGTGGTAACTGTCGCCTATAGACATGAGCATAAATTGAAAATTATTAGAGAAGTTATAATTTGAATCCTAAATTAATTAAAATTAATATGATTTTAAAAATTTTTGTAATAGGACATTGTATAGTAATATATCTCTCTGTCTGTATAAACATAATCACTAGGAATAAACAAATAAACGTGCTGGATTTCTTCCAAACCAAACGTCAAACAATTGTCCTCTGAATAAGGAACAAAGCCTGTTTATTAAATCAATCAATTATGATACGCATTGTCAGTTCGGTACTGAGGAATGTGACGCGTGACCCACGTATCCTTGATGTGTCACTAACTTTGGGCTGAGGCATAGTGACTTTACAGTAGCGGAAGCGATAGCGTGCGTGAGAGCGGATAAATTATATATATATATATATATATATATATATATATATATAAACAAATAACTTCGAAAAAATTTTTTTTATCTTTTCTTACTTCATAAGTTTGTCAGTTGTAAACCGATTAAATTTTTTTTTTATCTTACAGATAAATTGTATCGAAATCGGTTCAGTGGTTTAATTTTTAAATTAAAATAACTGGTTTTGCTACAATTGAACTCGGCTTTTTTTTTATGAAAAACATACTTAATTATTTTTATATACATACGATTACACTAATCGCTTCTCTAGGGGCCACGACCTGAACACCCAGACCCGAGCAAATATAGAAAAGTTTATTTACTAAATGGGCCCGATCGGAAATCGAACCCATAATCTCATTTATGCAAAATTATGTGCTCACCGTTGCGCTACAAGAGTCGGTTTATACTCCTATAATTTTATTCAGTTACTTAAAATGTTATTTCTGTTATTGTTATATAGTTATTTATACAGTATTTGTTCTAATACTGATGCTTTTCTGGCTGTTTTTTTTTTAATAATAATGAATTCTTTTTCTCTTTACAGGTAAATTACAGTATTAATCATTTGTGGAAACTCATGGTAAACCATCATAGATAGTGACGGAAGAAACTACATATTAGAAAATATTGTCTGCAAATTAATCTTGTAAGTAGTATAATAATAATAATCTTGCCGTGTGGTCCCAGCATAAAATAGGCCACCGTTTCCTTTCCCGTGAGTGTCGTAATGGGCGACTAAGGAAGAGCGAGGTATGGGCATCAGTGTCTCTCTTAAAACATATCTAAAGCCTAGTGCCAGCCGGTTGCCAAGTGTGGCAACTACTGACAAAACCCCCCAATTATATGGAATATACATGTAATTAGTGGAAGCCATAGAAAATAAGCATTTCCCCCGGTCAGTTGATAAGTACAGTGAGTCTGTTATTAAAGCAAACCCTAATTGGTGATTAGTCGTGCAATAATGAAATAAAGCCAGTCGTGTAAACGTTTCACGAGGCGTAGTTTATGAGAAAAAATTAATAGACGGTTTTCTAGAGAGAAAACCGTCCGTTAATTTAGAAAAAGAAAAATAATTTATGAAAAAGTCTGAAATAAAGAATACTTTAAAAATTTTGAAACTGCATTAATTGAGTTATTTAATTTTCCACATATTCCGATGATTTATCCGCTACGCTTTTCTAACTTAGATAATGAAAACAATTCTCCACTGACACTTCGATTAAAAATGTTATCATCACAATAACCGTAGCTCGGGAATTTAATAGCCTGGCGGTATTCATCGTAAACGATACTCGATACATACGAGTATAACGCGGAATCGATTACTGGTACATGCCTTCACTGCGAACAATAATATTTGCATTATCGACGTAAAGCTCGGTAAAGCGATGTTTTCGCGAATAAAGACACGTTTCGAGCGCCTTTTTTATGGTACATAAAATGGGAAACGTCAACGGACCACCTGATGGTAAATTATATAATATGGTAAAATAATGTCACCTATAGTCATGAACAGTACCATTACGAGGGGGGGGGGGAAGGGATTGTTAACTATAGGGATTTAACAACTCTATCGCTAGAAATATACCTCATCAGGTCGAGCTCCAAACGGTTTGTCCTTGAAACCATCTTGATTCACCTGATGAAAAATGATAAACATCGCCTGTAGTTATGAACAGTACTATTGACGAGGGGGGTGGGGGGGGGATTGTTAGTAATGGAGATCTAACAGCCCTATTGCTAGCAATATACCCTATCAGGTCGACCACGCAGTTCCCCCTGGAAACTATCTTGATTAATTGTTTAAGAATTCGTCATTCTGGGCCAACTAACTTGTCTCGTCTGTCTCATCTCTCACTGGTTCCTCACTAGCACATATCAATAGCGCAGGCGAGGTTACCATTCCATTATCACCTATTAAAAAAATCATTGACCTTACAGAATATTCTGTGTATTGTCTTTAGCACCCTTTGTTTATGTGGAGTGGTAAACATACTGATTGCCGTCTGATGGAAAGTGAAAACCGTTGCCCATAAACGTGAATAGCATTATGGATATCACTCACTACTTAGTGACGCCCACGTCCTCATGCGTTGCCATGAGAACTATGATGTTATTTTTTCCATATGCTATAATGTTACTGTCATATCCCAATTTTCAAACAGCAGAAATACACGTGGGTCAGTGATACCCAAACAGACTTGTATAAAGTTTCTTTCAGATAATATAGGCAAATACTGACTTTATAATTATCATTATCCGTTCACTGGTGAACAAAGGCCTCCCCCATAGACTACCCTAAAGAACGGTCCTGAGCCACCTGCAACCGCTCACTCCCTGCAATGCATTTGAAGTCGTCACTCCACTTAGTACTGACTTAAACTTAATTCTAACTTAGGAACTTTAATTATTTTAATGAGGAAGACGCATCCGCTCGAGGTTACATTGATTCAGATTAACATCGTGAAAATTTGCCTTTTATTTACAATTACGCTTTTAATGATGCTATTTCGCGGGTTTTGTGTTAAAGCGAGTACTAATTGATGGGATCTCATAAGATTTTTATGGTACGAGTTGTTGTTATTTTATCAACCGTTAACTGTACACTGTTGAACATATCCTCCCCAAAATGGGGGGGGGGGGGTTGGTTTGCCAGTAGATAAATAGATAGATAGTTTATTTGCATTACTTACAGCACATAAATTACAATACAAACATACACATAGTACAGACATACACAGTAAAAGAGATAAAATAATAAAAAACAAAAAAGTAACGAAAAAAAAGTTGCTAGGTTTGGCAGGCGGTTTGGCAACCGCAGTTTGGCTTTTGGTGACATTCTAAGAGGGACGCTACTGCTCATCTTTCAACCATAAGCTCTCTTAGTCTTCTCTCACTCCTTCTTTCCCGTGGGTGCCCCACGGGAAAGAAGGAGTGGTCTATTCTATACCGGGGCCTATACGTCAATGGTATAAGTACTGATCCATTATTAGTGCCCTTGTTGCGATCTAGTGTCACATAATATAAATATAGATAGATAGATACATACTCTTTATTGTTTCCTCCAAAAGATTACAATAGTAAACTTATTATAAACACCAAACAATTACAATATTTGTTTTTTCTTAAGTTTTTGTGTTGGTTTGTCTGTTTTTTTATCAGTTGCTTAACTTGTCATCTTTGTTCCCTGAATGGTATAAAAAACGAAAAACTTATTCCTTTAATTTTTTTCCTTGTCTGATGTTATGGCAGAATATTCTATTTTAAAGATCAGCTTCTTCCAATGTTAATGACAGTATCATGATGCCCCAACACCTCTTTTGGACATATTTTAAAAAGGAAAAAGATTTTCAGCAAAAAAGAAATTATGTAAAATCCAAATGGACATGAAAAAAGATGCTTTATTGTTTTAAGTTTATGGCTTTAGCGCTGGAAATTGGGTCAAGCAGATTGCCTCGTATTTTTTTTTCTCTAAAAAAATGTTGGAAGTTATTAGGATTTTTTTTTTAAATCTCTTAAGCATGATTTACATTAAGCGGCGCGTGTCAGCGCGTCGCAACGAATCTTTCGACAAACAATTGTGTTTGTTCAAACAAGAAAATCAATTTTTTATGGTTATTTTTTTACTAGAAAGAGATTGGTAGCATATTATTTTTACGAGAAATCGCGTTGCATTACATACAATTTAAAAGTAACAAATTTAAATTAGTTTTTTAAAGATTTCAATTCCTATTATTTTTCAACCGACATTGAAAAAAGAAGAAGGTTTACAATTCGGCTGTATTTTTTATGATTTTTTTACATCATAATTTTGTTATTTATAGACCGATTTGGATATTTTTTTTTTATCTGAAAGGGGCATATCAACATATTGATCCCACAGAAATTTTAATAAAGTCAGTTCATTAGTGTTTAAATATAAAAAAATAGGCTTTGCAGTAATTAAAGTTAGTGTTTTTCTTATGGAATAAAATCTACTTGTTACATTTACGTAGAGCTAGAACTTTGCATTAATCAATATGAAAGTTCAGTCAGTCATCTCAAATCCGGTACGTCGACTCTTGAATCTCTTGTCGGCATCTTGCCAAATCGTTGTGTGTCCTTCGAACTGAAAAGTACTAGATCTAGCACTATAAGGTCGTATCGGTGACATTGACCCTGTGGAATATCAAATATATATGTTTATATGTAAATCAAATTATTATATATTATCGAAATGTATTTACTTATTTCTATCAAGTACTAGCTGATTTGGCAGACGACTGCATATCCAATATATATATATATATATATATATATATATATATATATAAAATTTAATATAATTCTACATTTAACGGGCACGGGCACGTGATTCGCCGGAGTGGAAGTCATGTAACAAGAAAAGTAATGGCCATTGGCGAAGACAATACCTAGAAGTGGGGGGAAAGGGATTCTCATCTATCACCCTTCACTGGTGCTCCGCCAGCGTATCCCGTTAGCGCAGGCGGGGTTACCATACCATTTCACCCATTAAAAAAATACCTAGAAGTAGAAGAGGTCCACAAAACATCTGGGTTCAAACCATTCAACAGGATCTGCTGACGATGGGCTTAACACCTGAGATGATGCAAAACCGCCAAGAATGGCGTAAAAGCATCAGGAGAGAAATAGCTGATTGATTGGTTCGTAAAAACCTTAATCAGACTAGTAATATTTACCTTATAGGGCGAACATTTAAAAAATACATTATCATTACAAAATTAGTATGGGATCAGTACGAAAGTACCCTATTAAAATAAAAACATAAATCATCAAATCCTATTCAGAATTGTCGAATATTTAATGTAAGAAAAAATACTCAAATTCCCCATTTATAAATAAATAAATATATATTTATCAAGAAATAAGATGTAAATTCGCCTGTCTATTTGAAAAGCGACTGTCTATCATCTATTCATTCATGCATGACTAATCCATTTCCATTAAGAAATATGTTGCGTTGTAAAATTTAGCCTTGGCAACGAAAATCTTTATAGTTATACATATACGTACATATAGCATAAGATCTCGCTTCTGACTTCTGTAGGTATAAAGTTTTTTAATGAAACTTGGTTTAAAAGAAATATGAGCTAAAATATAATACAACATACCCGGGTTACCTGCTCTCAATTAGTAGCGACCTACTGTTGCCAGGTGACAATCCTTACTTGTTATAATTTTTTTACAAACAACCATATGTTGTCGTAATTGTGTAAATTTTATCAAAAATAATGATGAATTTACCGAAACTAAAATTATTATCTATTTTCATCTGGGAACCCTCGATCTCGGTTGACTGAGAGCAAGGAACCAAGGTGCATTGTATTTTAGATAATTCTTTTATTTAAACAGTTAAGGCTGATGTTCACCAAGCGGCTTACATCAGATCAGATCGGAACGGATTTTACAATCTTTAAACGATATTAAATCGTGTACACAGTATTTAAAGTCTTTATCAGCAAGCCGCGCACAACAGCTTGATCGCGAGCGTCTTCCGCGACTCGCGATCATAGCCGAAAGTTTACTGCGACGCGCGATCAGCTCTGTTCGCCAGTCGTCGTATCCGAATCCGTCTTCTTCTGAAACTGTTTGACGGGGATCACAAATGTATATGATCGTAAACGACGGCACGGAGGTGATCGTATGCGTCGACAATCTGCCGGACGCGATTGGCTGTCGCCGCGTCCGTTCGTATCCTTTCCGATCCCAGCAGAAGTCAGCGGCGGTATTTTAAGCCAATGTGAAGTATATTGTATACCAATATTGTAAATATTCCGATATCAATCGATAATATTGGATATAAAGGCCAGCTTTACATAACTCCGTTGTCGAGTTATCTACAAGTATTACATAAATAATGACGCTATTTTTGAGTAATATGTACGTCATCATTACCAGTAGGAATGATGATGTACTTTTATACCTTCAGTTAATACAAAGTTAGTTACATACTAGTCATTATAACAATTTATTAATATTAAATAAAGATTTTAATTGTTATTGTCTTACTAGTTCATTCGACAAAAGTTGTTTTTGCTAAGTTGTCCTATCTCTCAAGTTAGAGCAAACAATACACATTTATAAACTCGCATCAAATCGGTAATTTTTTTTATATTAAGTTAGTTATCCGTATAACTGGACAACGGAAATTTAATTCGACATCATCCGAAAAAGTGAGACGAGACCCTGAGACGTAAACACCGTTTTCACCTTAAGGAAGAGTTCCGGATGCAATCGAAACATCTGTCAGTGACGAAAATAATAATTAAAAGATGAAAAACTTAGACAATCTAATATAATAAATATCAGTTTCCAAACAGGCGAGACTACACATAATGAATATAATTATAGGTTGTGTAACGAGATATAGTATTAAAACAAATATAGTATATAAAAATAAATATAGTATATAAATATAGTATTAAAACTTCAATTTCATGTCAGACACTAACTTTACAAAGAAACTTTAAAGAATAGCCAACTGGTTGTTCAACATAATACTTCCACTATACAATTTTGCAGCTCAATATAAACTTTCACGAGATGATTTAGCACCTTTGAGTGGCAAATCTCTATTTCTAAATTAAATTATTAATTTTGTAGTTCAACAAAACTAATTAGTTACAAACTCTGGATGGTTTATAAGTAATTAGTTTTAATTAAATTGATAGTACTGTCTGTATGTTTGTTTGTTACCTTTGTCTACGTTGTCTTAAGGCTCTGGTAAGTATAGATAGTCTGGTAAGATTTTTTCTTTTTTTGTTTGTTTATCCAAAATATGAAGTTAGGGTGTATTCATTATAGTCCTGAATAAGACTTTAGTATGCTTATTAATATAATAAATGCGAAAGTGAATGTTTGTTGCCTCTTAGCGTCTTAACGACTTAACCAATCAGTTTGAAATTTGTTTGAAGAAGGATATAGGCTATTTTTCATCCTGATCAGTAAACATATCCCGGTCATGCGGATGAAGTTACGGGTAAGAGCTGCTATTGTAAATATATGAGTTTGTCTGTTTGGTTTAACTAATTCATGAGTTTTATACATACACGTTGTATTTGGGATGACAAACATAGACTGTTTATTATCCCAGTCACGTGGAAGAAATCGCGGGGGAAACCTAGTCCTTAAAATTATTTCGCTCTAATATTAAGCTTTAAAAAATCAGTTTCCAAAATATGTATCATAAAAGTAAAAAAAAAAAAAAAACTAAAGATTATTGTTTAGAAACACCAAAACTTCAAGAGTTTGTAGTGTTTCTAGTTTTCGATGCCTATTACGAGTATTTCTAAAATCCAGCTAAATATATCTGTTTCTTAAAGAAACTATTTCAAAATAATTGTGCTCTCCAATCAGACATACAATCTTAATTGCCACATTAGTTATTCTATTCGCACTTGCCCGCATTATAATATGATGCCTCGACTAGTATTTGTTACAGGAGAGACATTGTGATAAATTACATGAATATTATATTCAAACGGGGTTATCTCAACTGTCAAGGATTCAATATGAAGGATGCTTTGTTGCTGGTAATAGGGTACTATTGTGTAGAACGCTAGGACATTTGCCATTCAATGACAGATGTATGTTTCTAGAACAATGGCATGTTTGAATTGGCTCGAGTTTTGGGTTTGCTTCTAGTTTGCCATTATAGCAAGGGATTCTTAGTTATAAGCGACTTTAAAAAGATAGAGCGTTTAGTTTGTCTGATTTTTTGTGTATAATCTTCTATAATGTTGAACTACCTTTGATCATTATTTATCTTTATTTAATCTATAATTTCTTATGATTGAAGTCTCTTTTTTGCAGAACAAACCGTATACCAGGCAATTTTTCATATTTCTAGATTTTATTTACTAGCTTCGTCTTCGGACTGTTTTCATGCGTTACTATTCTTGATGATTATGGTGGTTTTTCTTTTTATATTGCTATGGTGGCAAACAGGCATACGGTCTGTTTGATGGTAAACTGAGTTACCGTAGCCTGTGGACGCCTGTAACACCAGAGATGTCACGCGCGCATTGCCGACCCTTAAGGAACCTTATTACGCCCTTTTTGAAAACCTGCATCCTTTAGTCTCTATGGAAAACGCCTGCAATACCAAAGGCATTACGCACGCGTTGCCGACCCTGTCGGTAACCCTGAAACCACTTTATCCCTTTTTTGAAGAACGCCATGCTGTAGTCAAATTGAAAAACTGCTTAATTCTGAAAATTCATTAACATTAAACATAACAAATGAAGTTGATATAAAAGCTAATAAGAAAGATAATATTGAGAAGAAACACGTGCCAGACGCTGATTTATAGGTACGTGTACGCGTGTAATGTTAGTGAGAAGTGAAATAAGTACCAGCGGACAAAAAAAGCATTAGTACCACAGCAATTAAATCTAAAAGTGTCGGAACATTCGAGCACAGATCCGTTCGTAAAATGTTTACCGTGTACACTACACGCGTTACGCCTAATGTTTACGACTGTGGCTATATGTGGCATTGCACAGCTGTATATCGCTGTTATTTCAGCCAATTCGACATTTTTTTTGTGCGTTCGAAACGATGTCGTCGCCAATTTTTTTTTATACCACTGAGATGGCAAACAAGCGTACGCTTCACCTGATGGTAAGCAGTTATTTGAATAATCTATATATTTTTTTCCTCGTCTTTTTTTACTGATTTTGTCAAGATATAAATTAATTTATTAATTTATTTGCAAAAAAATCATATTATTATAAGCTTGTAATGAAATGAACATAATTATATTGATGTGGACGACTACTTTTGTAAAGTAGGTTCTTTTGAGCTTACACTTAGAGTCAAAAATTGATATTGTACTTGTGATATCTATTTTAAATCATGTCTATGTCACTATTGTGCTTAATGGATTGTTAGTAAACTTTAGCTATATGTAGAGAAATCTAAATCACTAAGACTCTTAAAGTAATGTTCTATGTACATTACTGAAATTGGAGTTTTTATAAAAAAACATGAGTTGATAGAAACATATTTGCTTATAAAATTTGAGGGTTTTTCTTGATTTACTACATATTGCAGACATACAGACAGACAAAAAAATATTGTTTTGGCTTCTATTGCCCTTATCAAGGTCCCTCATTATTATTTTTTCTTAAATATCTCTTATATACAGACATTGTCTAGTTACAATTTTACTATAATAATAAGATTCCTGTATAAATAGTAAAAAAAAAAATTAATTATTAATAAAAATATACATTTTTATTCATAATAATGACTATAAACCCTTATTCTAATTACACGGAGTTCGTACAGTATGTTTACCTCATTCAATATCCTACAGAACCCTTTTAGAATAATGGGCGTGACTGAATTTGAATATTCATAAGCTCTTTGTTCCCCAAACTGTATAGCTATCTAGTCACCTCTTACTGCGATTAAGCGACGAGTGCCCAAAGAGAAAAATGGGTCGAGAAACGTCAACAAATTCAAAAAAGTGAAAGCTTCCTATATTAACTTTACAGCTGAACGTGCAGTGTTAGCATGGGATGTTTGTTTTTTTATAACACGAGGGGAAAAGAGCATGCAGCACATCTGATGACAAGTGATTACTGCCGCCCATGAGCACCTGCAACAACAGAGGAATTGCGGGTGTGCTACCGACCTTCTAAAAAGGAAAATGCTCTTTTCTTGAATGTTACGATGTCGTATCGGTCGTGTCGTGTCGTATCGGAAGTACTGCAGCTGGAAGTTGATTGCAAAGAGTGGTTGTATAGGAAGAAAGTGATTTGAAACGCAGTGAAGAACGAACTGTGGTGAATTGCCAGATCCAGATGGTTGGGATGAAAAAATTAATAATAAAATGAGAAACATTCGTGTTGGAAGTATTGTATTCGTATTGGAAGTGTTATACAATATAATGCAGGCCATCACAGGTGACATGAGTTTATATTAAGAAATTTATGTGCTAAAATCTATAGATTATATTTTTTTTTATGCAATTTAGAATGGCAGACAAGCTAACGGGCCACCTGATAGTAAGTGGTAACCGTCGCGTATAGACATGAGCAGTACCATGGACATAACAGAGTATACTGTTTCGCTCATGATACCCCCCATGCGTTGCCATTCCTGAGGATTTACAGGGTACAGAAGAATAACACTTCTTCTGTACCCTGTAAATTTACTGCCACATCCCACCCTTCAAACCGAAACACTGCCATGCAAACACAACTGCTTCACAGTAGAAACATGAATGGGTCGGAGTTGCCTAAGCAAACGACTTTTGTACAAAGTCTCCCTCTGGTAAAGAATCGTAATCATATTTATTTCTTTTTAAACACATTTCTTTTTTAATAACATAGACTTTGTTTAGTTTAGACACGTGTTTGTAGTAAGTCTTCTAAACATGTGTTGAGTTGAGTACCTGTTTATCGTAAGTTATTTTTTTATGTTAAGGCCATTTAAACCTTACTATCAAGTTAGTATATTAGAAACTAAAGAGTATTCGTTCGTAAGTCGTTTATCGACCCATGCATATAATATTTTTATTTTCCATTCTGTATATATGAAATAGAAATGACATATAAAACATTAAATGGTAAAAACAAACGTATTATTTGTAAACAGAACAATTAAACTACAGTTAGCACATGGAAATGGTAGCTATTGTGTTATCTAAACACAGCCATAATATATCTAACTGTGTAATCTGGGACCACGTTTGATTAGAATTTAGTTACAATTTTAGTGTAATACAATGTTGGTGACGATTATGCTAATGATTATGACATGCATAATGGATAATGGAGAAATGGAGAAAATAGGAGGCGGATAGTTAGTCCCTATCGTTAGAAATATACCTTCTCAGGTCGACTATCAACAAGGGTCCCCTGGAAATCATCGTGATTAATTGCTCGATTCGCTGCGGTGGATCATTGTTCATTCTCATCATTTCATCCTTTATTACTGTTAGCATAAGCAGACGCACCATTCCGTCTACATCTTTTAAAAAGAATCTATGTACAAAATTAATGGAATGAAACAAAATTATCTGAATTGCAATTATGAATCGTACAGTAACTATTTTCAACCGTCTTTGAAAAGTGTACGAAAATTTGCCTGGAAGAGATCGCTTTTAACGATAAGGTCGCGTATTGTTTTCTTACTGTGATTATTTCTTGTAATTGTTTATATCTAGAATAAGTTTACTATTGTTATCTTTTAGAGGAAACAATAAAGAGTATCTATCCATTTTCAAACGACTTCAAAAAGGAAGTTCTCAATTCGGTTGTGTTTGTTTTTTTTTATATTTGTTACCTCATAACTCAGTTAGTTATCAACCGATTTTGATAATTCTTTTTTTATCTGAAAGGATATACTTACAGCTTGGTCCTATAAAATTTTTATGAAAATCTATACAGTAGTTTAGTTTTTAAATCGAAATTAAATGGCTTTGCCACAATCGAAGTCGGTTTTGTGGAATACAATTAAATTATAGACCTCCATAATTCGTTCGCCGGCATCACGAAGCTGTGATTGTCTCCGTGTAAATGTAATTTCGCCGCTGCCTGTATTGATCGGGATCGTTTTTATAGGCGTGTTCCGTGTTTTGCGACCGTAACAGTTTTTTTTTTTATATTTTTATCGTAATACAGATCCATTTGTCTGTCGTTTAAATTGCTTTTTCAACAATTATCAGACGGAGATTTCTATTTCAACCATAATAGTTTGTATATTTTTATTGTAATATAAACTCATTTGTTTGTCGAATTAAGTTGCTTTTATAATAATTTCAGAAGAAAGAGGTGCTCAATTCAACTATATTTATTTTGTATAAATGTTACTTTTGATTGAATGATTTACAATGGAGTTTATTCCTGTGTGAGTCTTTTATATATATATATATATATATATATAAAAGATACAAAGCTGCACTAAACACACATGAATTATCCAACAAGCTGAGTTTGTACCTATTACCAGTCATATGTACTAGTAAAATATTTTGTAATGTAATCATATCACGTTCCACTAACCTTTTATTGATTTTACTGTAGTTGTAAAATATAAATGGCAATAAACAGATTTACTATTAATAAATTATCACTTGCCGAGTCAAATGAGCCGCATGATCGTTTGCCGGCTGTGTTTTAAAAAAAAAACTAGGCACATGTAAGTAATACTAGAAAAATACAAAATTCACTCTGATTTTTTTTTATGAAATAAGTCACGTATTTAGAATAGACACTCGCAATTTAAATTTTGAAGATACAGCCGGGAACTTTTCACGACCTAACATTGGTTAAAGTGACTTTCGTCTTCACATTTTATGTTTTTGGCTTGGTGTTACATTTCCGACAGTTACGGGCTCTATATCAAGCATCGTAAACATGGTTTGGTTATTATGTGTTTTTTATTCACGACCATACCATAAACGTTGTATTTTTGGTATTCTTGTCTTATCTGGTGCGGTCTCTCACAAGGATCGATTCTAGGTCCGTTTCTTTTCATCGATATTATTCTCTAATGTTACTATTTTTATTCTCACCATATGAATCTATGTTGTCTATATTTCTATAAATCCTCTATCAAAGAACTTATGTTAATGATTTTTTTTTTAAATGATTTGTTATTTTTCAAATATTCCAAATCATATTGAAATATTCGTGGTGATGTTTACGATTGGAGTTTGCATGAAAATTACATAAATTATATAAAGTATGCGAAGAATTGTCTTGTGGTCTCGGTAAAGAATGGGCCCTCCCTTCTTTTCTCGTGAGTGTCGAAAAAGTTGACTGAGAGAACTAAATGGTCCAGGGATGGCCAGCAGCGTCCCTCTTTAAACATTATCAAAGGCTAACTGCGGTTGGCAACTTGCCTGCTAAGCGTCACGACTACTAGCAAAATTTCCTTTTATGGAGACATATGTTTAGCAGAGGACAGTTAACGGCTGATATGATGATGATGATGATGAATCGAAGCTAACAGCCATTAGTATATAGAGATACATATAAATAGTTTGTATATTTATTAATAATACGTATAATATCCTTCATAGGTTATATAAAGCCATGGAATGCAATGTCCTTCGTAGTCACATACAGGCACGTGTTCAATCATCATTTACATTATAAATTTATTCAAGTAAGTCCATAACTATTTTCAAACGTAGTAGCGTAGTGGATTGAGCATTGACATAGATTAATTGGTATTTTAAATACACACGAATATATTCACTAATGGGGTAATCTGAGGCATTTGTCACCTTTATATGTCTACATTTAGCTGCACGTAAGATTATTAGAATTCAATATGCTACAGCAAGTGTAATACTGTTAGTATGATATTGGATTTTTTTAAATTTTTCAATACGACTTTGAAGGAATCTGATGGAAACTCATTTGATTTTATCATAGACGGTAACCGTCTATGATAAAATCAAATGAGTTTCCATCAGAAACACTAATTCATCAAAATTTGATCATAGACGGTAACCGTCTCTTACAAACATAAAAACACTAAGCAGGGCACAGGACAAAGGATTTACAGACGACAGTTGCCATATTCTATTATTTAAGACCATAAGGAGGCTTTATTTAAAAATCGTCTGCCTCTCTTTCACACTCTCTCCCTCATAATAGAACCTGTGGTCCACCCGTGTATCTTTTCTACTGTTTAGTAGCTGTGCTTGTATGGCTTTGTTTCGGTTTTAATTGTGGAATATGGCAATAAAATTACGAGATACGGTGGTATAACACTATGGTCCGGGAGGGAAGGGGTTGTTCCTAATGCGAACCACTAGTCCCATTGCTAGCAATATACCCTATCAGGTCGACCTCCACGTGATTCTCCTTGGAAACCATCGTCCTGAATTCTATGTGTTTTCATCATAATGGGTTAACTGATCTGCCTTTTAATTCTCACCTATCAACCCTCACTGGTGTCCCGCCAGCGCATACTGTTAGCGCAGGCGGGATTACCATTCCATTATCATTCATTAAAAAGATCACCATGGTCCTCAAGAATAGCAACAAATGGAGGGTATCATATGCATCAGTCACAAGGGCATGACGCCACAGTTACAATTCATGAATTATGGAGAATCTCATTGACATCACTGGGCATTCTGTGTGTCCCCATGGTGCCATTCATATCTGTTGACAACGGTTAACTTATAACGTCAGGTGGGCAGTCTGCTTATTTTCCTTTTCAAATATTATAAAAACAAAAGATCATTGAAAGGTTGCAGTGTCACAGGTTTTTCATAAAACAAAAAATAGTCTATCAACTTGATTGCCATTGCCAGTTGCATAAAAATGTAAGAATGTTAGATAGATAATTTTATTACTCTATGTATAGCTTTGTTTGATTAGATCTATTATTATTATTGCCACTGCGCAGTTGTATTGTACATCATCGACAACTGCGCGTGGGCAAAGGATATGGTCGGCGATGCTGCATAAATTATTTTTATTTTTTAGTCTTCTTGTTGACACTAATTGCTTATACAGGCGAGGAATATTTTGTGCGTGAACAATATTTTTCATTTATGTTAGTCTCGTCTGTCCAGTCTTCTTAATTCAATTTGAGACAATGGTCGACGTACACATTAGTCTAGCCATAATAAAACGCCTAAAAAGTATGTTCTCTTTCAATAAAACTTGATTAAAATTATAATTTTATTAGACGAATAACCATAACACAGTCTATCTATTAGTAGTTATTATTTTCATCACCATTTTAGCCGTTATCTGTCCACTGCTGAACCTCCCCCATTTCCCCCATAAACTGCTATAAGAAACAAGAAAATTCCTTATAATAGTTTGCCATGGGGATTTTGTCAGTAGTTGTCATTCCTGACAAGCGGATTGACAAATGCAGTTTGGCTTTGGTGACATTTGAAGAGGAATGTTGCTGACGGACGATCTAATGTATTTCGAAATGAAGAAACCGATCGAAGTGAATATATAATAATTCGACTGTATGGACTATTTAAAATAGGTGATGACATTTCTACCATCAATGTAACCAAATATATAGAAATCGGACCGGCACAGATATTACCCATGCTTAGAGTAAAATGACGAGATGTTTCGAGGCAGATTCAAATTATTTGAATTTAGAATGCGTTATGCTAATTTTAAGTTACTTCAGAAACGAGGAGATCTTATGTTTATTCGACAAAAAGAAATGTGTTACAAAATGAATTCGATACGGAAATACATATGCTGTCTATTTAAAAAAGAATTATTTTTAAAAACAATTTATCAATATCTATTCATGTCTGTCAATCTGTCAGTTTAATATATTCAACGTGTACACATACATCCTTGTTTAATATGATCAAACACAGTTCGCCTTCAATGAGACACGTGCCAACGTCCGATACGTGCTCGGAATCGTAATCGCGCGATGTTTTGGGGTCCCCGAATCAACTTTGAGTCTACTGGAGTCACGGTGTCTTCAAGTGCTAAAAGCAATTACATGACTGAAGAAAGTTTGAAAATTATATATATTTTATAAAATTATGATCAGCAAATAATAACTTCAACCGTTACCAAGTTAAAGAGGTCCCGGGTTTGATTCTTTGTGTGGCCAATTTACGAAACGAACTTTTCTAGCCTGGGTATCCTGGGTTGTATCAAAAGATGTTTCGTCGAATGGTTTCTCGTAAGACAATGTATAAAGCTTGAGAACCAGGCAATTTTTTAAACATACAATCGGGACTTAACGCAATGTAAATGCTTTTACAGGTAAATAGTACTGAAGTAAGCGGCGTCTTTGTCTGGAAGCTCGCGCACTCTTCGGGTACCCTCACACTGTCATTATATTCTAGATAATTCTAGAAACAACGCGAAAGTTTAACTTGTTACAAATTTTTAAGTTGTTACAAATTGTGAAAGTGATTTTGTTTATTACCTCTTAATGCTCAACCGGTATTGTTATATCACTGTGAAATTTGATATACACATACTACATAGAATGGAGAAGGATACAGCCTACTTTTTTTCCCGGTTGGTTAATATATCTCGGTCATGCGAACGAAGTCGCGAGTAAGAGTTAGTCAATAAATATTTTATTGTACTCAAATCGAATAACGAAGACACCTTAAAACAACTCTTCCACAATTAAAATAAGTGCTAACTCAAGAAAGTAATAAGTGTGACCTTAAAAAGCACTTAAAATTTCCACCAACTCGGGACCTTTCGATAACTGATGTTTGTCAGTTTAGGAACAAATTAATTTAACTTGAGTCTTGATTTCCAAGTAAAAGCGAATTTACCCTCAGGGCTACTGGAGCGTGAGGTTTGGCCAACGAAATCCGCTTGGGATTCATACCTACCTACCTTGTTACGGAGAGATTTAGACCTTTCTTACATGACGATACAGCTAAGAATGATGTTTCAGTGGACTGCTAGTTGAATATTGTTCGCTATTCGAGGTTCGTGTATTAGTTAAGTAAAGTAAAATAAAGAGTAAAAAAAGATTTTTTTTTTATATTTATTTAAAAAAATTTATTCACCATAATAAAATAAGGTACAAAAGGCGAACTTAATGCATGCTATTAGCATTCTCTACCAGTCAACCTTTGGAATGAACAGTGAATCACGACGCGCGGTACTTCATTATTAGAATAGGCAAAGAAAATAATAACTAATAATGTATAACATAATATGTATACAAAATAAATTATATATACATAAATATAAAGGAGTATGCATATATACTATATATACAACTAAATAGATATATAAAACATATATAAATAAATAAAAGATAACGATTAGCTACTATTGTTGTAATGTTTTTATTTAAGTAAACTTACATTAAAGTATTTTTAAATAGTAAATTTTTTCCATTATGATTGGGCATTCAGAACGCAATTTCAGACAATAAGAACGAGCAAGAAACTTAGCTGTTGCATGTTGCAAAAAGTTTAATTACACAAATAATGAATTTGTGTGAATACAGACTACTAAACTAACTAAAGTATCAGTTCATAATATTTAATATATTTATTTATTTATTTACACTCTGTTGCACTATTTATAAAATAGTAAATATATTTAACTGTAATAAGAAATAATACACGAAAGGCGGCCTTATCGCTAAGCAATCTCTTCCAGGCTAATATATATATTATTATGTATTATATATATATATATATATATATATATATATATATATATATATATATATATATATATATACACATACATGTATATATAACTGACCCAAAGGTTGTCTGAAAGAGATTGCTTAGCGATAAGGCCGCCTTTTGTATCATTTCTCATTAAAAATAACTCTATTTACTATTTTATAAATGGTGCAATAAGGTGTAAAATTAATAAATACATAACAATGACCAGAGCACGCAGAGTAGAGGTGAAGAATCTGCTTAATTTATTCGTTTTAGAAGAACTTACTGTTTTTTTTTTTCTTTTAAATTATTTGATATTTGTTATTTTATTTTATCGTTCTTTATTTTATTCACTTTACGCCGCCATTTTGAAGAGATTTATAGAATATACTACACGCAAACGACTGATATGCCGGGCATCGATAATGAAGTTTGCGAATAACCATTCCAATTTATATGAAATTTTCAACGGAGACTATCTCGAATAGTATCTTATTATTTAAGATCGTCTTTTCACTTTACGGTTGTTAAAAAGTCAGCAAAAAATTATGTATTATATATTTTTTTATGCAACTTAGAATGGCACACAAGCTGACGGACGGCCCACCTGAATAGAAAATGGTAATTGTCGCCTATAGACATGAGCAGTACCATGGACATAACAGAGTATATTGTTTCGCCTATGATACCCCCCATGCGTTGCCATTCCTGAGGACTCCGGTGTTATTCGTCTGTACTTTGTAAATTCATTGCCCTTCAAACCGAAACATAGCCATGCAAACATAACTGCTTCACGGTAGAAACACGAATGGGACAGAGGTGCCCAAGCAAATGACTTTTGTACAAAGTCTCCCTCTGGTATATATCATATGACTGTATGTGTTTACATATACGTAACTGCATTGAGTCCCAAAAATAAATTTCAATAATTAAATATAGTATCTTGCGTGTATCGTAATGTGTAAAGAGCCTTACAATTACTTTAATTTATTTTGAAATTACGAATTAACAATTATTTTTTATAAAACGGAAAGTATACATACATATATAATGTTCAGCGGTTCTAATAAATGGAGACTTATAATTATAGGAGGCTTTTGAAATTGCTTTTTTTTATGGCGTATAATGTTCTAAGTTAAAAGAAATCGTTACCCATAATACGCGTTAATATATTTGGAACTAGCCATAACCTCCGTCTTTGCTCTAAATGCTATTAATGTAATGATCGTAATAGTTTGTAACGATAGATGGATGGATATTTTTGTATATTTAATACGCTTTCGCGCAAAAATTACTGATCGATTTTGAATAAAATTTGGTGCACATGTAGGTTATATCTTAACTTAGCACATAGGATATTCAGATTTATATGCTGATTTATTTATTTATTTTATTTATTAATTAGTATATATATATATATATATATATATATATATATATATATATATGTGTGTGTGTTCATGGTGGACTGTTATGTCCATGATACTGCTCATGTCTATAGGCGACGGTTACCACTTTCCATCAGGTGGGCCGTCAGCTTGTTTGCCATTCTATGTTGTATAAAAATAAAAAAATAGATACTATATTAAAACAAAACTATCTATGGGTCTATTTATATATAGAGATTTGTTCCTTGAATGAAATAAATTCTTACTACTAATATTATAAATGTGAAAGTAAATTTGTTTGTTTGTTACCTCTTATCACCTGAACAGCCTAACCACTGACTGAAATTTTATATACTCGTACAAGTAATGTATGGGATGAAGAAGGAGGTAAGATGCTTTTTATCCCGGTCATTGAACACCCTACCCTGTACCCTGGTCACGCGAACGAAGTCGGAGGTAAAAGCTAGTAAAAATATCAATAAATAAATAAATCTAATATTTCTTATTGTAATACTGATCGAACTTCTTTCTATTCAGAAGTTTACAATTTAATTAATGTAGCATTCAAGCCACGAATTGTTTACTGTGATTTTAGTCGTACAAAGAAATAAATGGTATTTACATTGTTTTATAAGCAAACCATTGTATGTAGTGTACCGGAAATTATTTCTCTTTGTCCCCGCACATGTAAATGGTTCTTGTGCGTGCGATCGTACCGTCGATATCAATAAATAATGAATAGTATTAAACAATATTAACCAGAAGGAAAACTTTGTACAAAAGTCTGCTTGGGGAACTCTGTCCCACTCGTGTTTCTTTTTTTTTTATACAACTTAGAATGGCAAGCTGACGGCCCACCTGATGGAAAGTGGTAACCGTCGCCTATAGACACGAGCAGTACCATGGACATAACAGAGGAGTATACTGTTTCGCCCATGATACTCCCCATGCGTTGCCATTCCTGAGGACTCAGGTGTTATTCCTCTGTACCCTGTAAATTCACGCCATATCTCACCCTTCAAACCGAAACACAGCCATGCAAACACAACTGCTTCACGGTAGAAACACGAATGGGACAGAGGTACCCAAGCAATCGACTTTTCTACCGTGACGCAGTTATGTTTGTATGACTGTGTTTCGGTTTGAATGGTGCGGATATGGTAATGAAATTACAGACAGGTCTCCGTGTGGTGATGAAGTACTAATTTATTTGAAGTTTATTTGTTACATTTGTCGATAATATTGCGTTAAATATTATATGTTGTAAAATATTGAAAATAACAATTATTCTTTTTTTTTTTTTATTCCAGGTACCTATTTTTACTTGCGAATGAAATCGGTGGTAAGTTTTTACCTACTGCAAAAAAACAAGAAGAGGTTAAGAAAGTTATCTAAGCAAGACCGTTTAAAACATTTGAGACTTGCTTTTTGTCATCAAAAAGCTTGTTTATTTATAAAACTTAAATATACATATAATAAACTGCCCAATCAACAATTTTGGGTGTTATGTTAATAATTTTTCTTTTGTGTACTTATTTCTATTACATTTGTCAAATTTGCAAATAAATATATAGATAGATACTGTTTATTGTGTCCTAAATAATATTACAACAGTAAACTTATTATAAATACTATTATAAATATAAATACTTATTATAAACTTATTATAACAATTACAAGAAAATATTACAATTACAAAAAATTTCTCCCACGCACAACCACTCTTTGGAATCAACTTCCAGCAGCAGTGTTTCCGAACCGATACGACAACATAACCTTCAAGAAAAGAGCATATTCCTTTTTAAAAGGCCGTCAGCACACCTGCAATGCCGTAGGTGTTGTGGGTGACCATGGGCGGCGGTAGTCACTTACTATCAGGTGAGACGCTCGTTTGCCCCCTGTGTTGTAAAAAAAAAAACAATGAGCGGCCTTATCGCTAAGAGCGATCTCTTCCAAGACAACCTTTGGATGGACCAATTTTCTACGTTTCTATAATAATACCATAATTACCAAATAGACTTCGGAGTTGACGATTTTTTTTGCCGGAACGAAACTTTATTAAATTAAAATATATTAAATCTTTCCAAAAGCACTTAGAGTAATTACAATTAGTACTGAATCGACATTACGTGACTTATATCACTTTAACACGCACACATTCGTGACTCCGTTGACACGCAGACCGGTACCAAAAGAAAAAAATAAATAAAAACGCAAAAAAAAAGTAATTTCAAAGAAATTGACTATACAACAGGTACCTAGAGTTTTGTTCCATAAAAAAAAACTACCGATTCAGTCGTGACATCGCTTCCGATTGGAAATCATATTAACAGCTCGACTAGTTTCGAAATCAATTCGTGATGACTGTAAAAGAATTATTAAAATCGCATCAGAATTGGTCAGAATACGAGTATCGTGTACATGACACAAATATAAACATAAATGAATTTAAATGAAATTAAAGAAGAACTAAAAACATAGATACTCTTTTTGGGAATCAATGATAATGGAAAAGCAGTGAGTGAAATATTATCATATATTAAAGTCTTTTCTGAAAGTTTTTCATTTTCATATCAGAAATGCTTTTTGCCTGTATCCGTAGATTTTAAAGTAGGAAAAATAACGAAAAAGACCACTAGATGGCGTATTCAAATAAAACATACACCAGATTTTAAGTTTAACCTTCAAGAGTCAGTCTCTTGTCTGTCTACGAAAACAGAGTTAAATTTGATTCAGTGGTTTTTCGTGATACCGAAACAAACATACATACAGACAAAATTTCTAAAACATATTGATTTGATCTCTATTACTCTTACTTAGACTCTTCATTTTCTTTTTTTTTTTAAATATCTCCCATGTTCAGACATCATGTAGTTACAATTTTATTATAATAAAATATAAGGATAACGAAACATAGTGTTGTAATGGTGGTTTGCAAGTATCGAGAAAGGTCTAGATAAATCGAGTTAAATAGAAATATAAGTACATGTGTAAGGACTGAGGTCTTTAGCATTCAATACATATTAAATACCTGTAATACCAATCTTACCTTATACCTTACCGTTTTTATACCTATTTAAGGCATCAGTTTCTCATAATTATATTTATAATTAAATTAATATAAACATATGCCATTGTATTTCACTGTGAAGAGAAAATAAGTCGACTATTATTAATTTCAGCCTTTAAACTCCATGATCCCTCTGTCAATCAATAAATTGTAAATCCAAATCTAATAACCCATATCCAAACGTGACGGGGACTATTTTATAACATAGCAAAGGATCTAGCGGCTCACCTGATGGCAACTGTTTACCATGATTCATAAGCACCTGTAACATTAGAGAAATTGCAAGTGTGTTGCCGGCCTTTAAGGATGGAATATAGTAAATATCATATTAAGGTGGTCACTACATGTGATCATAGGAATGCTGGCTCCGTTATCAAACCAATGCCCTTATATTTTTCTATGTTAATTTAAACGAAAATAAAGTTGAAGCAAAATAAAAGCTTGTAGAAGCACTCGATAAGAGCATCTGTCAATTCTTTACTGTTTAAATAATATTCTAGCAAATACGATTTTAAAATGCTTATAAACATCGATTTGATTTGAGAAATAGTACTATTACTCTTACGGCGAGGATTTATTCCCCATTTAAAAATACGAACCGAAGTATACAAGCTGATTAGAAACAGAGCTTCTGCGCGTAAAGCTGCTAGAATGCGGAATCAAATTATTGGAATTTATTCAAGTATCACACATACGGTTATAATTTCTCATACAAGATACACTTCCAACAAAGCGATGCTGCCAAAACAAATAAATTATCTAAACTAATATTGTAAAAAGATTTGATTATTTGTATGTTTATTTGTTCTCCTCAGTCCTCAGGAATGGCAACGCATGGGGGGTATCATGGGCGAAATAGTATACTCTGTTATGTCCATGGTACTGCTCATGTCTATAGGCGACGGTTACCACTTTCCATCAGGTGGACCGTCAGCTTGTTTGCCATTCTAAGTTGTATAAAAAAAAAAAATTTGTTTGTAAGATAAGATAAATTTAAATTGAATTGCCTGATATCCAACTAAATATTTTTTTATAATGAAGTTTCATTCTGTACATGTAAATTCCTTTTTAAATTATTCGAAGTGGACAATTCGTATAGAAGTTACGACGACTATGTATGTATAAATGTTTAAAAATAAGAAAAATGCCACGGTGTGAGCGAACAGCCTTACAACTATTATTGTTAACCTTTCAACCGACTTTAAAAATTAAGTTCTTAATTTGATTGTATTTTTTATATTTGTTACTTCATAACTCCGTCAGTTGTAAATCGATTTCTATTTTATTTGAAAGATTTACTTATGAACAGGAATCATACAAATTTTATCAAAAGCCGTCCAGTAGTTTAGTTTTTAAATAAAAAAAAATATACCTAACTGGTTTTGCCATATTGAATTTTTATGGAAAACAACCTTTTTTTTTTAAACAACTTAGAATGGCAAACAAGCTGACGGCCCACCTGATGAAAAACGGAAACCGTCGCCCATAGACACGAGCAGTACCATGGACATAACAAAGTATACTGTTTCGCCCATGATACCCCCCATGCGTTGCCATTCCTGAGGACTCAGATGTTATCTCTCTGTACCCTGTAAATTATAAAACCTTAAATTACGTTTGTCCAAAGGAAGTTCTAATTTACCTATTATATTGTTATATTTATTTATCTACTTGTGCGAACCCGGGGCGGGTAGCTAATACTTGATATAACTGTTAGAAATATAATATGTCATATGCCAGCTGCAGTAGCCATTCTACGGGTTTGGCAAACTTACCCAAATAGCTAGTGCCGATTCGGAAAACAAAGCTGCTCAATCAACATCTCTATTTGGTCGGAATACAAGCTAGATTAATTTTTACAGCGGCAAAACGACATTTTAATATATTGGCCGCTTAGCGATGCAAATACGGGGGTGTGCCAAAATATTATCTCTATGCTACAGCAATAATAATTTTGGACGATGGCCAAAATAGATACAGCTGGATTTTAAATAGTCTCGTGTTTTGTAAGTTATTTATCTATTTAACCATATTATTGCTGGTTTTAACATGTTGTGTTGGGGGAAAGGATTGTTAGTAATACGCTAGGTACTTCTTCTTTTCATTTAAGAGTTTCCTCTTGTCGGTGCAACTAATTCATGCATCTTCTTCCAGCCAGCTCTATCCCAGGCCATATCCTTGACCTCCCTATACGACATGACGCCTAGTGTTTCCTTTATCTGTCTCATGTAGTTATTCTTCGGTCTTCCTCTTCCTCCGCCTATCTTTCCTTCTACTATGTTCTTAAAAAAATCGTCATGTCGTATATTGTGGCGCAGCATTTTGCCTCTTCTATTCTCTATTATTACGCTAGGAACTGTTAGGTTACTATTAGGTCGACCTCCATGTGGTCTCCCCTGAAAATCCACAATGGTTTCCAGGGGGGATCACGTAGAGGTCGTAGTTAATTCCATCACGATGGGCTAACTGTAACTTATTTATTCTCCCTCACTGGTACTTCGCCAGCGTATACCGTTAGCGCAGGCGGGGGGTTACCATACATTATCATTCATTGAAAAAAATAAACATGTTGTGTTACCTACAAATTGTCATGTTTAATTTTTTGGGTAAAATTTTAAATTATTGCAAGTCAAAATGTACCCCACTCCGATTATTCAATTTCGCTCCACTCCATTCCTTTGATTCTTTTAAATTACATTGCGAAGCTTCCTAGAAATTAAAGGAACGATTATTTTTCTTTTTCAATAAACGAATACAGAAAGGAGAGAATTTTAATATATTTTTACATACTTCTGGGAATATCCAACTGAATTATGAATGTGGTAAATGTCATCGCACATGGCATGTCCTACCACTTTCTTAAGCCTAACTTCTGAGAAATAATTTAGATAGATATCTATATAAAAATATACATATTTGCGCACAAACAACAACATACATAGATAAATATATACAAAATATACGAATACATATACAAATAACAGGAAAATACATAAAAGAAGTAATACAATTTTTCTTTTCTTGCGTATGCCATAGTAATACAAAATGGTCACAACTCAATTTATTGCTTTGCCTTCAATAGAGTACATCCATGATATTCTATTGTGTCTAAAAGCGAATAATAAAATAAAATTATCAATAATTTGATTGGCGACATTTCATCCAGCAGGTAAATGGAATGGAAACGTAAATTGATGGTGCTCCTAATTTCTGCTTTACACTCAGGATTTTTTTTTAAATTGAACTTAATGGCGGTTAATCGAATGAGAGGTGGTATATTGTCCTAATATTTTGTGATTTGATATAAGAAGCTACCAAATTATACCAGTTATTGCATTGGCATTTGCATCCTTGTGATTAAAATTTCTCCTTTATGACTATAAATCTATAGTTAATTTATTGTCCATAGACTCGCAAGGCTCCACATACGACCTTGTTATCAGGTGAGATTGCGATATATTATGCAATCTTACTATTATTATTATTTCAGCTATTAACTGTCCGCTGCTGAACATACGAGTACAACTCAATAGGCACAAATTAATATAAAACTCAATAGGCGTGTACGAGCAGATACGTCATCCATTCATGTTTCAACCGTGAAGCAGTTGTGTTTGCATGGCTATGTTTCGGTTTGAAGGGTGGGATATGGCGTGAATTTACTGGGTACAGAGGAATAACACCTGAGTCCTCAGGAATGGCAACGCATGGGGGGTATCATGGGCGAAACAGTATACTCTGCTATGTCCATGGTACTGCTCATGTCTATAGGCGACGGTTACCACTTTCCATCAGGTGGGCCGTCAGCTTGTTTGCCATTCTAAGTTGTATAAAAAAAAATCTAGAAGTCATTTCTTTCATTAAAATTCCTACCTCTGAAACCCACGTGTACGTAGTAGCGAGCAAAACGTTATTATTGCAATAAAAAAATTATGCATTCTTTATTTAAATATTCTCGTTCATTTAAAAATCTCCATTTCTCGTTTCTCCTGTCGGACTCGGGAAACTGCGATTACGGGTAGAAATCTTGACGACTAGTGTTATCAATTCAAATTACTATGCAGAAAGAGCAATTAGTACAAACTGAGACACTATCTGTGCGTCTGTTTGCCGGACGGGCTGTGATAATGGATCGTTTGTGCAACGCTGCACCTGTCTCGGTGCCCTAGTTTGTTCAATAGTAACTATTGATATAACAAATTCCATGAAACTAATTGCTTGCTATTTCGTTTCGCTTCACAATCGAGGTATTCATGAGACGCCGAATTTCATTTTTCATTTTTTATTTTTATGGCTAATAACATTTTGTCCTTTGTTTTTAATTATATATATAACAAAATACAAACGGCAAACGAGTTGACGGCCCACCTGATGGAAAGTGGTAACCGTCGTCTATAAACATGAGCAGTACCATGGACATAACAGAGTATACTGTTTCGCTGAACCCAGTAAATTCACGCCATATCTCACCCTTCAAACCGAAACACAGCCATGCAAACACAACTGCTTCACGGTAGAAACACGAATGGGACAGAGAGATTAAAAGGTAACGAATATAAACAAAATACATCCGAATTGAGAACCAAAAAAAAAAAAACAAAAAATAAGTGTGAAATAATCAATTGATATATATTTTTTTTAACCTGTAAGCTTTTATTTAAACGTTTACATTTGTATAACTGAATTTATTATGTAAACTTACGAAGTGGAAAAAAAATTAATAGTATTGACTGTAAATGAATTGTAATTTTACTTTATAATTTTTGTAATATTATTATGTACATTGTTATTTTGTGCTTTGAATAAATAAATAAAAATAAATAAATCCTCATTTTGAAGGCAGTTGAAAATTATATAAAAATGAAATCAATAATTCATGGGGAACTGTTGTATTATATATTGTGTATATATAAGCTCGTGTTTTCGTTTGATTGATGGAAATGGACGAATCATTTCCCCGGCCGAAGATGGAGATTAATTTCACAAATGCTTTTATCTCTGACTGTCTTGAACTGTGATGTTTTATGTTTCCATAAATTTACGATAGATTGGCAACCTTTATGAACGGAGTTTTATTCTTTGTTAGTTTGTATATATCCAAAATTCTGATCTTGTAAATTTAGAATTTTATAAACGAAGGGTAACAGTCGAATTTTTTGTCCTGTTTTGTTTGAATTTATATAAAAATAATTTAGTATTTGAAAAATAAACATGTATAGATTTTTTTATACAATCTTTCATAATATTATATATGGGAAGAAGGATTTGTTAGTAATGGGTTCTAACAGACATTGCTAGCAATATACCCTAACAGGTCGACCTCCACGCGGTTCCCCCTGGAAATTGTCGTGGTTAATTCTTGTCGAATTCTTCATAACTTTGACCTATGCCTTCATCCTCGCCTTTAATTTATCAACGCATACTGATAGCGTTAGACAATGTTACTATTCCATTATCACACATAAATAAAAAAAATATGTATGTGAAAGTGAGTTTGTTTCTTTATAGCACCTTAACGGCATAAAAATTCACTATGAAATTTGGTATACACGGTGGAAGATGGAAATGGATATAGGCGCCAGTCACGCGAACGAAGATGCGGGCAAAAGCTAGTATTATATAACATTAAGCAAAAAATAGAATCATCATCATATCGGTCGTTAACTGTCCACTGCTGAACATAGGCCTCCCCCATAAGGAGAGCTTTGTCTGTAGTTTCCACGCTTGACAGGCGGGTTGGCAACCGCAGTTAGGCTTTGGTGATGTTTCAAAAGGAACGCTGCTGTCCATCTCTCGGCCGTTAAGTTCCTTTAGTCACCTCTTATCCACCGGCATCCACAGGAAAAGAAGGGGAGGCCTATTCTATACGAGAACCATACAGTACAGTAGTACAATATACATTAGTTGTTAGGTTCTTTACATTTTCATTAATTTCTATTGACAGAAACAATAATCAAACTGCAAACATCTGGGGGGGGGGGGGAAAGGGATTGTTAGCAATGGAGTTTGACAGCCCCATTGCCAGCAATATGCCCTATTAGGTCGACTCCACGTGGTTCCCCCTGGAAACCATCGTGAACAATTCTTGTTGAATTCGTCACGATGGGCTAACTGGCCTGCTTCATCCTCATCTATCATTTTTCACTGGGGCCCCGCCGGTGTATACCGATAGCGCGGGTGGGGTTACCATTCCATTATCACCCATTAAAAAAAAAACTGCAAACATCTACACTGGGGTAAAACTTGTATCAATCGATTACTAATGAAATTGATTTTTTTTTTTTTACAGTAAAGTGTGACATGCGAAATAAGTAACAATTATTTGAACAACATATCTTTAAATCCATGTCATTCTACCAATAGGAGAGCTTAGAATATGTAATAAGTATTAGAAAATGGCGAAAACTCTGAAGATTCGCGCTCCAATATCAAATAAATCAAGCCAAATAATAAATCTCACTAAGACAATGACTTTATCACAATTCCCATTATATAAATTGATCTTTTAACACGCGAGTGTACCGCTTGACCT